CTCATACTGAATCTAGCAACATTGTTTTCTGCACTTGCCTGAGCACAGAAACAGTTGGTATCTTTGGCAACCACTACATGATGGAAGGGGGAGGGAGAGAAGAATAAGTAACTGTTTTTCACCCCTGCTGTTACTGGTACAAAAGAACAGAGGGGAAAACTCAAGCATAAGAGCAAACTGGGGAGGGAAAAAGATCACTCCAATGGCAGCAGTTCTTAATATCCAAGAGCTGTGGCTCAGTGGTAGGGCATCTCCTTTGCATGTAGTAGGTCTCAGGTTCAATCCCCAGCATCTCCAGTTAAAGTTCCAGCAATGCTGACTTAGTTAGTTCAATGTCAGGGTATTTTTAAATGCAAACTATTAAGCTAAAATGGAAAACTAAAAATGTAAAGCTATTAAAGCAGGTATGTAAAACAATACAAACTAGAAAAGAAATGTGACAATAGATAACCATAGAAAAATACTTTAAATAAGCTTTCAGTTTGCTCTAACTTTATAAGAAAAAAGCATTCTGTTCCAGCAAAGATCCATTTTCTGAACTGATATGCTGAACAAACTGACAGTACTGAAGATTCTCGATCACACCTGAGGCAAAGGGCATAAGCAATGGTCAAGAGATTTGATTAACTCAATGGACAAAACAATTCAAATAAGCTACTATCAAAATCTAACCATTTGCTAATAGGATTCAAAACCAACAAGCAAACATACATTTACTTGTACGGCAAAGAAATATTCAAAAATTACAAACCAAAGCCTTGCCATCTTGCAGAATAATCCTTACTTCACTTTGTTTTGAAAGTTGAACATTGGCCCCGGTCACACGGAGCATTTGCCGCGTTAAAGATACGGATGATAGGCAGATTTTCCGGGCGCGATCACACCGCAACATCTGGGAAGCGTAGTGCTCCCATGGCTATCCCGTGGTGTCCCGCCGAAGATGCGGACTAAAAAACTAGTACTTACGAGGTTCTGGTTTTTTATAGAGTGCAGTGCAAGGGCGGGCGTCTGATCGCGTTTCCGGTGGACTCCCGTGGCATCCGGCGCCCGCCGATGTTCCTTCGCAAACAAGGGTTTTTTCCCCCCCAAGTCTCCGCAGGATGCACAAAAGCACCCAACGGCGCATGCGCACAAACTTCGGTAAAACTAACATCTGTTTGCCATGGGAGCGGCGCTTAGCGATTGCTGCTGTGATCGCGCCGCGCCGCTTCTTTGCCACGCTGCTGGATAGCCGTGTGATTGGCACCTCACCCCCTAACCATGGGACCTCGACGGGACGTGTGATTGGGCAGCCGCACATTATTTTGCTCCGGGGCAAACAGCCATGTTCCCCCCCCCGCATTTTCCAGCCCGTGTGACCGGGACCATAAATTTAATCAATGGGGTTGTTGTTTTTAAATTAAGACCTGTTTGTCTTTCAGGACTTGTGTCCAGTAAAGGGAAAGCTTATTTACTGGGTGAAGATAGTACACGTCTTCAAATACCAGTTAAAAGTTATCAGCATTTAAAATTAAATAGAAGCAGTGATTTATAGCATATTTTATCACTACGATGGACAGCTTCAGAGCAGTCCCCCCACCACAGTATGATATAACATTACTGTTTTCAGATATGCACCAAAATATTAACACGCTCAAAATATCCTACTTTTAATTTTCACTGTTGCTGGAATCTCTAGTATTTTCTAAAGCATTAAACAAAAAGCAACAGTGAATATAAAGTTCTTATTTTTTGTTTTTGGACTCACGGGAAACACTTCAGAGATGACACCAGACCCCAGCCTAATAAGTAAGATGACTACTCGTACTGCAGTCTTGCCTCCTACAATGTTTAACCTCAACTTAGGCTAGACTTAATGGCTGAATTCAGATGTCACAAATGACCCAGAGTTTGTTCGCCTTATAAACAAACTTTGGGTAAACTGACAGCTTCACATATTCTTCCTTTGCACAATGTGCCAAGACTGATGTTTTCAGCAGATATCCAAATGCAGGCACCTTCACTGAGACTTACTCTTTTCACAGCAACCAGAATTAAACATCAGTGCATGGAGGCACCTACATTCAGATGTCAGAACTAATTGGAGCTAAACAGTCTTGGCAAGCCATGCAATGGGAGCAGGGAGGGGGGGTTTCACAAGCTCAACAATTAATCATATTCATCCCCACAATTTGGTTTGCCTCTAATGCCTGAATACAGCCTATAAACCTGCAACGGTTACAGAAATTCCAAAGAGAAGAGAAAGAATCCTTCTGATGACTATAACTTTGTATCTGTAACTAATTCTTTACTCCTGCACATTTGTAAAGCAGGCTGCATTAAGTCTTCCCCCTATAAAACCCATTACCCAATGCGGTTTAACTAGATGTGTTTTAATTCCATTTTCTGAATGAAGAAGAGAGGGCTGCTGAGAAAGGTAAGGTCCCTGTTCAACTAGATGTCCTCCAGAGAACCATATCTGCATTGGGAATAGCAAAGCAGGTGGGATAAGATTCTTTCAAATGGCTGGGGAAACAGAATCCTTCAAAACATAAAACTCCATCACAACAGGTAACAGAAGGCCTCTGATGCTGCTCTGAAAGAAAGATGACTAAGGCAGGCTACAGAGAGAAACTAAAACAAGATAATTCCATACAGCAATGAAATAACAGGTGATGGTTACTGCATAATCATGATGTGCAAGAGGCACCTACCAAAATAGCCTGAGTCTTGAAAGAAGATTTGTAGCACTGAGAGATTTTTAATGGGCTCAGAGGACTACAGCACAGAATAGAGGCAAGGGGGCTACAGTAGGAAGGTCTACTAGAGAGGCTGAGGTCTACTGTAGAAAAAGAGTTCAAGGGACCCAGATCAGTTACGCCTTCGTGTACTTTTATCAGATTTTTAGAGCTCAAAAGCCAGGGAGGTTAAAGCGACATGTTCAGGCAGAATTTATTTCAAGAAATAAAAGCGGCCAGCTATTTCAGTATAATATTTTTTAAATGTGCAGTCTTGTCTACCCATTTCAAGGCGAAAAGGGAGGAGCTGGGCTAGGCATCCGGATTAAGGGTGCCTCCATTTGGGAGGACAGGTGCTGGCGACAACAAGGGAGTCATCTATGAGAATATTACATATACAGCAAAGGGACAGTGGGCGGGCGACGGTGGTAGTGCGCCGTGACGACTCCCCCGGGAAAGCCTCTCCAGCCGCCCGGGCACCCGGCTCCCACGTCCTGTTGCCGCCTTACCCAAGTAATGAGCGCCCCACATCGCTCCGCCGGACTAGCCTCGCTCATGGTTCCGCTGCCGCCAACGCTCCCAACGCCACGCCCCCTAGCGGCCTCGAAAGCCCCTCACGCACACTATATGACGTCACTGCTCGTTCGACGCTATTTGTAACCTGGGCGGGGGGAAAAGAAGCCACGCCCGCAGCAGTAGCGACGCGCTAGGAGGAAATGTAGGCCAGTGAACATTTGTTCCTGTATATGGTGAAGGAATCCGTTCGCGGGTAGGTGGGCAGTTCCAGTATTTAATCTTCTTTGAAAACAACAACGACACCACTTCAGAGGCGTGTCCTTTCTCTTGCTTCGTTGTCCTAGGAGAACAGGGACGAGGTGTGGGTTACTAAGTGCTGATTAACTTTGCACATGCTCAGAGGCACTTTAATTTTAAAGTAAATATTTCAGACTTCTGACACTGAAAACTGATTCGCAGTTTAACCATAATACTAATTAAACCACCCTAACTAGGATGTCCCAGGCTGGTAGGGTTGCCAGCTCCGGTTTGGGAAATACCTGGAGATTTGGGGGTGGAGCCTAAGGAGGGATTTCAGTGGGGTACAATGCCATAGAGTTCACCTTCTAAAGTGGCCATTTTCTCCATGTGAATTGATCTCTCACCTAGAAATCAATTATGATTGTGGGAGATCTCCAGCTATCACCTGGAAGTTGGCAACCCTGCAGGCTAGCTCGATCTCAGATCTTGGAAGCTAAGCAAGGTCACCTCTGGTTAGTGTTTGTGTGGGAGACTACTAAGGAAGTCCAGGCTTCCTATGCAGAGCCAGGCAGTGGCCATCCACCTCTGAAAGTCTGAAAACTTTAGGAGGTCTCCATAAGTCAGCTGCGACTTGATGGCATTTTCCACCACCACTGCTAATTAAATCAGCTTTTGGCTGGACCATGACTGGATGGCTCTGCCTCCACATGTAACCAATATGGTTAAGAGTCTGTTTGTACAGTTTTAACAATCCATGCCTGTTTCTCAAAGGAGCAATTTTAAAGAAATAGAAAACAAAAGTATTAACTAAGGGAATGCAGTATGGGAGCAAATGATTAAACTCCAGGTGCTGCAGGACTATGAACTCCCACCAGGGGCCACCTGTGTTCTAGCTCACCAGTGGTGCTTATGCTTCAACAGTCAATCCAGAACATGGTTGGTGATGGAAAGTACTGTCAAGTTGCATCCAATTTATGGCTACCCCGTAGGTTTCAAGGCAAGAGATAAACAGATGTGGTTTGTCATTGGATGGCTCTAAGTAGCAATCCTGGACCTTCATGGTGGTCTTCCATCCAAGTACTAACCAGGGCTGACCCTACATAGCTTCTGAGATTTGACAAGTTTGGGCTAGCCTGAGCCGTCCAGGTCAGGGCTGAACAGGGTAACTCCAGTCTAAACCCAATGATTTCAACTGGCCAATGCAGTTCAATTTGGGCTGGGGCTCAGTGGCAGAGCATCTGCTTGGCATGCAGAAGGTCCCAGATTCAATCCGCGGCACCTCCAGTTAAAATGATCAGGTAGGAGGTGATGTGGAAGACCTCAGCCTGAGACCCTGGAGAGCTGCTGCCAGGCTGAGTAGACAATACTGACCTTGATGGACCAGTGGTCTGATGCAGTACAAGACAGCTTCATGTGTTCATGGTGTAATTCTGTTCGTCTTTAAAACGTTGCTAGAGGCCTTGTCCTGCTGGCATTTTCTGGTTTAGATTTTTCCAGGAGGAGCCAGGTTGGCTCTTAACATGGGGCTTTGCCAGCTGTGTGTTCAAATTTCTACATATGCATTTAGTTGTAAACAATGACTTCTATTCCTGTTGTCAACATGATAATTCTCTGTGGACAATAAGAAGGCAGAAGACATTGCCTCCTTCATATTCCAGTTGCTGAGGCAAATAGAGACAATTCCATCTTGGAAGTAAAATAAGATCCTCAGTAGCCACTCATCCAACTTTTATCAGTGTCTCTACCTAATTTTCTGGGAAAGATAATAAAGAAGCCACATATTTTTTTCACTGGGGGTTCCAAAAATTATACTGTTTTTACTGCATAATGTGGCATCTCAAAGGCCAGCATTGTGGTAGAAACCTTTTGGGAACACAGTACATCTGTTAGTGTTTTAAGGTGACACAAATCTCTTTTTTGTTTCTGCTTCACAAGACTTAACCAGTTACCCCTCATGAATTTGTAAAAAATAAACGCTCCCCGAGTTCTATATTACAGTCCCAGATTTGGTGGTCTGCTTAGTCTCAATCCACAGACATGGTATGTTGCAATTACAAGATTGAAACTTGGTGCATATTTAGTTGGGTGTACTAAAGTCCCATTAATAGCATTCATGAAATGCTTAGGATTTACCTGCACAGAAGTTTGAACACTGTATTATGGAACAACTAGTACGCAGAGAATGGGTCTAGATAGAGTTGCAGACAACTGGCCTTTGATTTTGACATTTTAAGTTTGTGCTGGTTGCTGGGGGGAAACACCCCCCCCCAATATTTTGTTTTTACATTAAGAAAACTTAGAATACAGGAGATGTGATCTATTTATTTATATGTCACCTTCTCTCCAGTGTGCTCAGCGTAATGTTTAGCCTGAAAACAACCCTGTGAGGTAGTGAAGGCTGAGAGGCAGTGGATTGTCCAAGGCAACATTTCACAACTAACTGGGGATCAGAGCCTGTGCTTTTCACATCCAAGCCAGACACTCCACTGTGCCACACTGGCTATTTAGCTACAAATGTGTGCCACGACAGAAGAGCCTTGTGTTTTCTTCTCTCACATCTCCTGCCCCATGCAACCACTGAGATGGAAAACAAACTCCATGTGGGAAAGTTCCCAGCCGAGTTATTTTGGCTGCCTTGGGTGGAAACGTGTTATCGGTCTCTGTGACTCAGGAGCAAGTCAGACACCGTCTGCTCCCAGCTTCCCTTCCTGGGATGGTCTAGTATTAACCCTTAGAATGCTAGTAGGAGGTCAGTTCTTCTTCACCATGTATGGTTCCAGAGCTGTAGCAGGGGAATATTGGCCCGGTTTGTCCATCTCTGTTTCCACTGGCTTGTAATGGGATTCAATCCTGACCCCTCCTACTTTCCCCCCTGTCTTTTAGTGCTGGCTAAGAGTGCAAACAGAGACTTTGTGGTTCCAATCCCGCCTCAGCCCTGAATTCACCAGGTCACTGTAGGCAAGCCAGTATTCCCTCTGCATCCTGTCTGTATCATAGGGATGACTGATGAGAGAACACTGGTTGTTGCGATTAACGAGATAACATGAGTGAAGTGCTTTGAACTCTCAGGAAAAGTGCTCATAAATTGTAGAATTATCATCTTCCCAGGACAGCCCCTTAATCTTATTCCTTGTGCTTCCAGCAGCACTGCTAACAGACTTCAGTCCCGTCTCTTAGCCTCTTGACATCTCAGTCGTGTCATCACAGTGGTCATCCCTATGCACAGCCATCCATGGACTTCATGGAGTGGGACTTTCCCACTTCCCCCTCCTGATGTAGTCCACTCCGTCCCCTGAAATTGAGGGGGCATAGTGAGGCTCTGTAGTGAGAGGGGGGAAACTGGCAGATATTGCTGCCCCTTGTCCCTCTAGTAGAACAGGATTTCCATTGGAGATATGCCCTAGAGCTGCCATCTGGCCATTTTTTATGCACAATGTATCTTTTCCTGTCTGGTGTATTTCTTGTGGCCATTTTTAAAAGGTGGAAGATCTTCCTTCTCCCCACCCAGACCACTCTGTAATACACTTTACCGGTCAGGCCAGTCTTGGAACTTTTATGTCCATGGGGCAATTTGCACAGACCCACAGACAGAGTGCCTGGAACTGTACTTTCTGATAGGGGTTTCCTAGTGGTCAGAGAATGAGAACACCTTATTAAGCTTTACCATAAATACAAAAAAGTTACTAGCGCATGACATTTTTAACAGCATGCTGTACACATCCACAAATGCTTTTCAAACAGCTTTTACATTCTACATCAGTTTGTTGTGATCTGCTCTGTACCCACTTGCACAATACAAGCAAAACATATCAACATCCTTTTCAGTCAAGCACACTCTTCAAACCAAACAAAAGCCACACTGTGCTTCATACAGTACCATATTCATCATCCACTCCTACTGGCTTTGGTACATACCTACAGATTCCCAGATATCCTCTGCACATAGACAATTCATACTATCACAAACCACACACACACATCCACCCTTTCTGTGCACATAAAACACACCCTGTCTCTGGCATGCAGTCCCCTTGGCAGCTGTTCTGCTCTAAACATGTCCTAGTTGGAGAAGCCGCCCACAGTTAAAAACAGATGATTTCACAGAAAAGCAAACAGGGGAGGAACAAGAGGGAAGGAAGAATCCTCGGGAATAAGAGTCAGAGGTCATGAAAATGGTCTTTGATTGTCACCCCTCGGTTACTCCAGACTTTCCTTGTCTCCGGGCAAATGTAATTGCTTGTGTGTAGGAGTGTGGACACCAGAAATTGGGGGCTGGCTACATCATGTTACACAACATAATCATCTAGCACCAACATGCAGTTGCCTCTGAAGCGAGGTGTGTTACCCAGTCCCACAGTATGGAACAACACCCAAGTCCGGAGCAGGAAGTGATTAATCCCATGAAGAG